CGGTTTTCAGTTTCAGTGTTATTTTCAGTTAAATTTCCGGGTCAAGTTCAGTTCAGTTAATTATTGTCAACTCAGTTTCGTACTTAGCCGGTTTCAGTTATACCGAATAAGACCGAATATTATGTCAGATTCGATAGAGCATCTTAACATAATTAAACAGTTAAATTATCAGTCTGAGCATAGTCAATAGTAACTGTTTATATTATTTTCAGTTTGATCAGACATCAGCACTGCCATTCAGTTTCAGTTTCAGCAGTTCAGGTGGGGACTCAGACTAAGTACTACATTGTTTATAATTACGCTACCATGGTCGAGGTATGTATAATCAGTATCCGCTCGGAATGGTCGCCGGTCTATTCTGGGTTATAGTGGCCTAATCTAACCACTAGAGTGTGCACATGGTCCGGTATTAGTTTGTGCCGGGAGATTGCGGTATTAGTTTGTGCCGACAGATTTCAGTTATCAGTTACGTGACTTATGTCGCGAGATCAGACCGGTTTCAGATATCAGATATCAGTTTCAGTTTCAGTTCAGTTGTATATGCTTAGTTCATGATATTGTTATTATTTATGATGTTTACATTAGTATGAGTTTCTGCGGAGCACAAGTGTTTTAGTGCTCACGCCCCACACCTTTCATGTTTTTTTCAGGTCGCAGGGTCGGAGACGAGGAGTGAGTGGGCGAGCTGTTCAGGATATTTATGATTATTGTATTTATGTTTAGCCACGCTTTGTTTCCGCTAAAACTTTCAAGTACTTATTATCAGACTTTGCCCCGACATTAGTCGGATAAGACGTTATGACCGTTTTTATGTATCAGTTTAAATTTTAATGGTTTTCACAAATCAAGTTTTCACGGTAGCATCCCGAATCAGTTTTCGCAAAATAAATATTTTATTCAGAAAATTTTGAAAAATCGCGTACTCTGATATAGTAGTAAGTCGGGGTGTTACAATTGGTATCAGAGCGCACATTTCTGCGTCTCTGAAAAGTTTTTCAGTCAATAATTTTCAGAAAAACCTGAACCGTCACGCTCACGCCTCGCCGACTCCAGGTAAGTGCTGATTCAGTTTTTCAGTTATAAACATATTACTTTGTCTATGCTCAGAAATCAGTAATCAGACTTAGTTAAGATGCTCGAATCATATTCAGGCTTTAGAGTTCAGATATAACCCTAGAATTCAGTATATTCAGTATAACTCTAGAGTTCCTCAGGTTTCATGTCAGTATATATCGGCCATTTTTTTGGCAACTCATCAAGAGATCTGTGTGCCTTAGTAATCAGTCAGAATGTTATCACGTGTTCAATAATTTTGAACTTTTTCAATGTTCAGATGCCGCCACGTAGGGAACCCGATCATCCGGCTCCTACTCAGGCTACAGTGGTCGCCCAGTTCCGCGACTACCATGCCGAAAAGTTCTCAGGGCAGGGAGATCCACGCGTAGTTGACGAGTGGATTCAGGGTATGGAGTTTATCTTCGAGGTCATGGAGTGCCCTGAGAGATATCGCGTGGTTTGCGCACAGCTTCAGTTCACCGGTGATGCCAGGCTCTGGTGGAACGCTTACTGGGGCATGCGCCCCGGTGAGAAGGCGGGATGTACGTGGGAGATGTTCAAGGACTTAGTCTGCGAGAAGTACTATCCCACCTACTACCGAGCCGAGATGGAGCGCCAGTTTCTATCGCTCTAGCAGGGTACTCGTACTGTCGACGAGTACGAGAGAGAGTTCACGAGACTTGCAGCTTTTGTACCCGATCTGGTCCGCACGGAGGCCCAGCGAGCGCAGCGTTTCATTGACGGGCTTTACCCAGCAGTCCGTCATAACATCGTAGGTCACGGGACACAGACATATGCACGTGCAGTCTCCATTGCTCAGGAGGTGGATGCTAGCCTTAGGAGGGAGGCAGTTCGAAGTCAGATTCATCCATCCGTCCCTGCTCAGTCGTCTTCAGTTCCAACGATGTCAGCTTTACCATCTACCCAGCCGCCCAAGAACAACAAGAGGAAAGATAAAGGTGCCCAGGCAGATAAGAGGGCCCGACGGAGGCTACAGCAGATTCCACAGTGC